GGAGGGGGGTTTGTTGCGGGGGGGAGCAGCGCCGTGGAAACGCCTTACGGTTGTCCGGAGCGCGAAATCCGCTCCCGAGGAAATCTCTTGGGTTTGCGGCATTATCTTAATTAAGATAATTGATTCATATTGCACCTGCGAGAGTGCGGGAAAAGGATGCCTCCCCAAATAGCTTAAAGCTATTGGAGAGAGGAAGCCGCGCTTATAATTTAGCGAGTGATTTACTGCCTGGGCAGCCCGGGCTCTCTCCTTTCGCTGTCACGTTTCCCTCTCCCTCCCTCTCCAGCAGGGCACCCACACAAAGCCCGAGGGTTATCCTAATTAAAAAAAAAAAAGGGGGGGGGGGGGAGTAGCACTATCCGCTCCTCCTGTCCACCCGGCCCCTGCATCCCATCCCATCCCATCCCATCCCATCCCACCCCATTTCACCGCACCGCACGGCACCGCGGGGCCGGGGCTCGGGAAGGGCCAGCTTGGGTTTGCCCTCCCGGCCCCACCGCTGCGGCCAGAGGAGGGGACGGGGACGGGGACGGGGACGGGGACGGGGACGGGGACGGCAGCCGCATCGCACGCTGCCCGGAACGCTCCGAGGAACGCACAGCTTGCTCCAGCTGCCTTGGCTCGGAGATCACCGGCGGAGAAGAACGCTTCGAAATACCGCTCGGGCACCGGCTCGGTGCTGGGGTGCGTCTGTACCGCACTGTCCAGCGTCTCTCTAGGATACGCGCACAGCTGGGCTCGGAACTGGTACGAATGATTAAGGTGCCTCTTCTGCTCTTTTTTCCCCTTAAGACTCAGTGTATTAATTTTATTGAGCCTTTCCCCGTTAGATAAATGCCGCTGTTGTTTTAATTCTATAAATGTAAACTTCTATTTAGTTAATGGAAAATACATCACCACCAAGGTTTAATTATCAGCTTTTTAAATGACTCCTTTGGTCTAGTGCACACAATTATGAAATCGCAATAGATTTAAAATATAATTCAAATTGATTAAAAAAAAACCCAAACACACAAATCAGAGAAGTACGTACCATTAAAGCAAATGTCTAAATTGTATTGGTAGGCCAGCTACCGCCTGAGCTAGAGTTTAAATAACACC